CAAAGCCTACTAAACGGTTCTCATTGAGTACACCGGATGTGCGGGGTTCTAATACCTTCCTTGCGGATAAATGACTCCCAAACTTAAATTTGGTTGTGATTACCATATTTTTGTTCTTTTAGGGTTTTATCAATGTTTTCCCTTTAAGAAATAAACTTCGGTGGCGACTCTTGTTGATTTCGAGCATTTGTACGCTCAGTATTTTTCGCACCGCGACAGGGGAAAAGGGAGGGCTTTGAAAAATGATTTTTTCAAATATAGACAAATCTTTTAAAAAATTGAAGAAAAAAAATCTTTAGAATGATAAAATAATTCTTATAGTTAATATATTTATAATTTTTGAAATATTATAACAATAAAAATTATATTTGAACAATTTGTCTAAACCTTCAAAAACCTTCATCCAATACAAATTTTGAGTTTTCCAAATTAGGGAATTTTTGGTGTCATGAATAAATTTACGAACCCTCCAAAACACTCCCAACCAAAATCATTCTATTTTTTTCTCTCAATCCTTCCTATTTTTCAAAGTCCTTCACTTTTTCCCTCCGAACTCCCAAACACGAGTATTTAACCCGACACCCCCCACTTATAACTGACACCCCCACACTTAGAGTTATAATATCGTTATAACATTCATTAAATACCGCTACTTTAAAACATGTATGCTCGTACCGAAAATTTGGAGTATTTACCGACAATTTGCAAAAAAATTACATTTGTTCACCGAAACATAGGTAAAAGTACCGACAATTTGGAATTTCCGGTATATACATACCGAAACTTGTGAAATTTCCGATAAACACATCTGCTTTCTTACCAGAAATTGTGAAATTTCCAATATTTACCATAAAATTTGGGAAATATATACTTTTTGGTATACAATGACATAAATTTTTCATTTTTTCCTCCATTATTTTTTCTCAAATTATTGACTCGATAAAAAAAATACCTGATAGAATATAAACATATAACAGAAATTGTGCTACATATAAGAATACAAAATAAATTAGGATGACTTCCTAACTTCGTCTTCTTAGTGCCTAATGTGTCCTGCATATGCTGATTTCTGTGCTTTTGCATCTTTAGTATAGTTTTGTCTCCAACGGTTAGTGACGGGAGACAATGGATAATCAGGTCTCAATTTTACCTAAACACAATTATTGTTGTTGACAAAGGCAACAACAATGATTTTATATCTACTCGTATACATAGGTGGAGTTAAGGCAATAGGGAAAAATATAATGTTAAGTCTCTTGTACATGGAGATAAATACGATATTGTATCTACAAGTAATAGTGTAACCCATATCACGATTTGTCATTCATTTATCTACGCCCTTCACATCTAAGTATTCTACTTGTAACGGATTCCTAATTGTAGAGATCGTGTCATATAACAAATTGGAAAACAATTGAGGGTTTTAATGAACTTGAGTATCTAATTGCGTCTGAATCAAAGGCCATTAGTTTTCTCCCCATCCAAGTAAAGCTACAATAGCCCAAAAACCACAATTTACATCGTCACTCACATCAATAATTCATTAATGTATGAATGTAAAAAATTAGGAAAGTGAGACAAGTAAACATCTCTCGAAGATGCGGTGGATGGTTGACTTCTAGCTAGCATACTTGACGGTTGACTTCCAGTTGCTTTTGTTCATAATCTTTTGTAGTCTGAATCTCCTACGAGCCCTTAGCATACTTCTATTATGAAGGATCACGATGCACATCACTCTCTTGACCTTTTTTACTCTTTTTAACTCTCCTCTTTGGCTTGTATTTCACTTGCGTTAGACACATAGAAGTCGTGGATGAATGTGTTAGTTCCCAAACCTTATTCTTCAACACCATTTGGCCTACAACATCCAAAGTACTTAAACATGTTTTCAACTCTTCAAACTCTACTTCTAAATCCAATTGTGTACCATTTGCTTCATAACTGACCTCGTGCTCTTCAATATGTAATTTCTTCTAAAATACATGAATTGGTTCTAAAGGAACATGAATGCCTTGTATTTGCAAACCGACAATTTGACACACATGATAACACGTGTGTTGTTCTAATGAAGCAACCACTTGCATATTTCCTTGCACCAACATATTTTACCATTTCTAGTTCCTTTCTAATATGTTGTATACACTGTCTTGGAACAAAATCGTGCAAATTAGCATAAAATAGATTGTTATACTGATGCTTAATGTTGATAGTACTTTTTAGAAATGAGACTCTGATTGAACCTAAATGCAACTTCAACATGGTGCTCACAGCACCCCAAATTCGACATAAATCTCATTGGCTTGTAGTCAACATGTTTTTTAGTCTCCAATAAACAAAATCCACCATAAAAACCATAAATAGAAATATATTTTAAATTATGTTTAGTAATGCAATAACATCAAAATGACATTCATGTACCTGTTTGTTATTGTGTTTTATAAATGAGTGACTCTGTTAGTCCAAACAGCAATAAACCTTTCTTTATAAGGTGTCAATTATATTTCACTCACATACTTAACAAATAAAGGAATATCAACACAAACAGTCTTAAAGTGCTTTAAGTGTTTGACAAACTCAATTTTTCTATCAGCATACATGATGTTGTTCCATATATCTATGATATGTTATTGTCTTTATGATTTAACATACTCTTTAAATTTCATACTAACATTTTTTAAATATGAAACGAACACAACATATGAGTTGAATTTGAGAACACAATTTCCATGGCATTCATCAACCCAAGTTTTTGGTCTATCGCCACAACATTCGATAGCAAATTCTTGAAAGAGAACAACTATTTGAGCTTTTCCACTGCCCGTCTGGAGTTTTTCTCTCTTTCATGTTCCAAATAGGAAAAGTCAACCAAAAACGTCAACTTTGTTGACGTAATACCAACAATCTCAAGCAGTGGTAGCCAGTACTTGTTTGATCACGAAACACATAATAAAAAATTTGATAAATCAAAATATGTCCAAAAGATATTAAAATTCAACATCTAACCATTATCTACTTGTCTAGTATGTACAATCAAAAATCAACACCAAATGAAACATATTCAACAACTTCACTGAATTAGGATATGACCAAAAGATATCAGCAACGACATTTGGGCCTTCCCTATTTTTAGTCCAACACGTGTATTTTTCTCTATGAATAAGACTCAACAACATTTGCATTTCCACCAATGGACCTATCTTGCTCGCATTGTATATAGATCTAACTTTATACACCTGCGTAACACATGTGAGGTTTTTTGAATCTTTGTCTTTCAAAGCATCAACTATGTACCTCGGCGTCGTATTGTACTTCGTCATGTCATTCACAAACCATCTTTCATGATCTTTTAGACTGCCTAATATATCGTGGCCTTCTAAATCCTTAGATAGTTTATGATTGTGTGACTCACACATAACCATCATCTTTCAACCGCTACCACTTGGCAGACATCTCATCCTAAAAGGACATTTAACTTTCATACTATAAATGTCTTCTGAGAAATTATTGCTTTCAGATGCATTCTTCCTTTTGTAGTTTCCTTCTCTCACTTCCCATTTGCAGTATCAGGACGAAAGATCACAACAATAATACCATGTTGTTTACCAATAGTTTGTGTCTATGTTAATACTTCAGATCAGGACTCAAATATATGTAATTTACAACATATAAAAAGTAAACTATCAATATCATAGAGACATAAAAACCTTTAAATTAAACTTGTTATATATAAAACATACCACGTCGGTAGTGAAAAACTGCGTAAAATCTGTACAAAAATTTGTTAAAGATCCTACCTGCTCTGGACTACACAAGTAAAGCAATATTCCACATTATTGGAAATGATGTGTATTGACAAACTTTCTGGTATACCAAAGTTTTGAAATTTTCAAAAGTTTTGGTGGCTTTTTGAAAATTTTGATAATTTCCAATATGCTTTTAGTTTTTTTCTAGAAAAACACCGGAATTTTTAAAATTTTTGGTATTTTTATCGGAAATTTACAAAATATGGATATATATATAACCAGAAATTTCATATATATTATTTCGTTTTTAATAGGTCAGTAAAAGTGGAAATTTTTGAAGAAAAATAAATTTTGATCCGTAAATATTAGCGGAAACAATTTCGACAATATGAAATTACGAGGGTGGCAAGTATAAAAGAGGAGGTGACGTGTTAAATATTAAAAGAGATTTAGCATTACGCTTACATGTTTATAAACGCCATTACATTACTAGGTTTTTTTTTATGCGGGAGTTTCTGAATGCCTCTTATGTGAATCCTATAATCAACAAAGTTGTTACTCCTGATAATATTCTACATACTTTGTGGATGCATTCTCAAGTTTTGTTAAGAATATCTTTTGTGTTTTAATTGTCACTATGCGAACTATGGATTTTTATTTGGAACTTGTTCTAATGCAACTCAGTATGTGTTAGGACATTGTTCATCCTTCACAAGCTGCTAATCAAGTTCCGGCTGATGCGTTACCGGTTAAGGGCTCATGGAGGGGCAAGTGATGCAACAGTTTGCTATTTCTCTAGTGTGGAGAAACTGCGGCATATTAAATAAGATTTTAGAAATTTCGATGTAACATGTTCAGGTACATCAGTTATTTTAGAAGGGAAATTAATCAAGATCCGCATTGTGTTATCATAATCTCGTAGAAACACAGCATTATTCTGGTCATTGTGTGAGTAAAGGAACATTGAACTCTAAATTCAGGATGAAGTATTGGCTAATATCTGATCTTTTTTCTGTTGAAAAATGCTAATATGATCTAATGACATAAAAGATTAAATTTCCATCCAACATGGACAGAAATTTGAACCTTAAACCTCTTCCACACTATCCACAGCTACGTGTAAACCAAATTTAGATTTGTAAGTATTGACAAGAATCATTTTCTAAGCTAATCATAGAAAACACATTCTTCTGTAATACAAAATAACTCAGAAAAGGTTAATTAAATCCTTGGATATTGACCATAAGCTAAAACAAACTAACTAAATGATGTTGATCTTCCTTGCCTTTGATGTTTATCATTCGCACTAGAATCTTCTAGAGCTTCTGCATATTTCTCCAAATCAGATTTCTCTATGCCTAAAAAGTCGGAGAACGAACCTTCTCCGTCAAAACTTGAATATCTCCTATCAAAGGAAGTTCTACCGTCAAAACTTGAATTTCTCCTATCAAAGGAAGTTCTGCCGTCAGTGTTGGTTGATGTACTCCGTCGTTGAGGATTGATATCTTCTTGATATCTAGATGAAACCTGACTATGACGATGATGTCCATCCTTTCCTAATATCAATCTTCTAAGCTTGCTAAAAAACTTGTTCTGACTCGGGGCGTTAGTTCTGGAAAAAAAATGATCATACTCTCCAGAGTCAGTAATAGAAGAAGATTGCGAGGAGGACCGTTGATTTAAATCAAAATCCATAGTACTCCCTAGTCCATTAGTATCAGTATCTTCAAGTATTAGTTTCTTGGCTTTCTTCTCAGAGTCCTTTGCAACCGTTTTATTGTGTAGAGGCCGATGATTCTGCAGCTCTTGTTGTAAACGGGCATTGACCCACCGCATGTACACTAATTCTTCAATATCTGAACGTCGATCAGATTGTAGTTGCTCAATTTGCTTCATCAAATCCTCATTTTCTTTTCTAAGACGCTCACTTTCTTGATTCGCATCATTAGCAAGAATCTGCATAGAATCAAATCTTCTAGTTAACTCCGAATTCTCTATCTGCAATCTTGAATTAGATTTCCTCAACTCCTCTACTTCAGACTCAAGCGCCTCTAACTTTTGCAGCTTAATTTTGATGTCCTGATCACAAGCAGCGTCTTTGCACACTTGGTCTTGCAACTTGGCTACTCTTTCTTGAAGACTAACAATCCGCTCTTTATTCTGTTCAGCTTCACGCCTAATTTCCTTATTGAGCAGCTCGATTTTTTCTTTTGCTGCATCAAGCTCAGCCAGAACTTTTCCATGATCAGCAACCTGTTCCCTTAATCTCCGATTCTCGGACTGTAAGTTTTTAGCCTTGAGATTGAACATCTCTACCTGCATATTAGTTATCTTCAATCTATTTTGAAGCTCAATCACAACCGTTTCTTGCTCTCTAAGACCGTAGTACTCAAGTAGCTGAACCTCGAGATTTTGTTCCTTGTCTTGAAGCAGTTTAACCATGTTCTTGAGTTGAAGTATCTCTTGTTCATAGTCATCCTTATCAGGACCTGCAAATGCTCTAGAAGATCTTACTTCTAACTTCCGCGACTCTACTTCGAATTCTACCTCCTTAACGAGCTCGTCGAATTCAGGTAGGAGGAACTCATCTCTATCACCGTTTTGTTTCGTGTTACTGCGAAGATCAATAGGAGAATTTCCACTGCTAGACCCGTTGGATTCAATTTCATGACCTGAATTAACTTCAGTTAACAAAACAAAACAAAACACAGTTGGATTCATGATGAAATTGAAAAGAAACAAGACCTTGATTGATTCTGAGGCGTGAGCAAAGAAATCCGGCAAAAGAAAACCCCAAAGCCAAAGCAATGTTGAGTAAAATAGGTTTCACACCCTTGTCCTTCTTGATCATGATCAAATTCAATCTAATCTTTCATCAGAATCATCCATCTTAAACCAACGAAAATATGATTCAACTCTTAAGTGATTATACCTAGAAACACAACATTGATTAGTAACAATTCATCCAGCTTATACAAAATCAGAAAAGCGACTTTTGAATGATTTTCTACGCGTAAAACTGAATTCAAAAAGTGAGTAAAGAAGAAAAATACCTGAAAAGATTAAGATGAAAGCTGAAAAGACAAAAAGGGTATTTGTCTCTTTCTTTTTCCTTAGACCAAAAGAAGAACAAACGAATCTTAAAAATGCCGGTGGTGTGTTGACTAAATAACTTATTTGAAATTAGAAAATGAAATTGCCTGAATTCCTTCTCCACTTGATATTTTCTTAATCTCATTAATTATTTTTAAGAGTTGCTGATAAGTAGGACATAGTCGGATATGGTTTTTACCTTTTTAAATTCAAATTCAAATTTTTAAACCATCCTTGTTCTCTGACTCAAATCTATTAGGAATGAAAAATTAAAATCCAAATTTATCCAATCAAATTTAGATTGGATTGAGTTTGGGTGTCTTCGTCCATTTATTTAAATCAATTTTTTTTAATAAAAATATTTAAATTAAATTTAAATAATATTATGAATAATAAAGTAAAATAATTTTAACAAATTTTATATATATATTTCAAATATTTTAAATAATAAATATAAATTAAAATAATTATTATTAAAAGGGTATGGTGTGTCGATACTCATACGTGAGCATTTGTTCCGATCGACCAAAACTAATTCTCTTGGTAATCGTCTGTTAGCGAAAGTATTACACAAACACATACCACGGTAAAACCCACAGACCTAAATCCCCCTTTCAGTCACCTCTCCAACTATGTTTTGGGCTTAAGTTTTTTCTTCGATTTTCTACCTCTTTCATTCGGATAATCAGATTAAGACACTTTTGATTGTTTTCGTTCACATGTATAAGATTGGATTGAGACCTTTTCGAGGCACCTTTATTCTTTTTTTCTCGCGCATTGGCGTTTATTAGTCCACTTTGGGACGACTATAGAGATTCAACCGCCGTTAGACTAAGTAACCGGGTGAGGGGTACCCAACTTAGAAAGACCATTTGTCTTTACCGTCATTATTCATCATTTTTTAGGTGTCATAAGTCATTCTTTCAATCAACTTTATACATGCGGTTCTTTTTAATCATGCCGGATCATCACTATGAACTAATCGGAGAATACTTCTCAAATCCAAGTACTATGACACAAATCTACATGTTGGACTCGTTACCTTACTTCGGGGAATCTAGGGTGTTCAGGTTATACCTCCATCTCCAAGCTTTCCCAAATTCCCTAGTTTCAACTCCTCTTCCCTCAAACTCTATATATTTTCCTTACTACTTCACACATCACAGTATTCACAAGAAAATTTTTACGATCCTTATTCGGGGAGAGTTCACAGTGATTTTTAAACAACAAGACCCAAACACAATTAAAAAGTACTTAAAACAAAAATTCAAAACAGCAAAAACTCCCCCAAATTTGAACTAAACATTGTCCTCAATATTTTAGAACAGGAGTGGGAGAGATGTACTCACAGAGATCCTTAATGAGGAGTTGGAGGGTAATGCCCCACTCTAGCTTGCACTTGTAAGGTCTCGTTTATTACCTGCAAACAAAATAAAATGACAGCAAAAAGAAACGCATTAATCATTAAAACCGCGGGTTGTCTCCCACACAACACTTTATTTAACGTCGCATGGCTCGACGATTAACTCTCCATTGTTATGGGGGGTATTTCAGCTTCCATACTTTGTTGCTTGAACTTTCCGCAACAAAGGACCTGTCAGGTTCAGAGATAATCGTCACTTTGTGTATCAAATCACATCCAACTTTTCTATTCTTGACTCCTCAAATGAATTTTGGAGTCTCATTATGTGCCTTGGATGCCTGAGATATTGCAACCTGATAAACTATACCAGAGACTTTTTTCAGAAGTGGTTTTGAACTTTTACCTTTTTTCACTGTTTTGATCATTCCAACTGAAGGTTGAATATCTTTCTCTTTAACTCGCTTCTTGGTGTCCAACACTTTTAAAGTTATTTCTTTATCAAAAGATTTCAAGGTTAAAGTACCTGTTTCAATATCAACATTGCACCGACTAGTAAGCACGAATGGTCGGCCAAGTATGATGGGAGTCTCTTTATCTTCTGGAATATCCATAATCTCAAAATCAGCTGAGAAGGTAAAGTTATCAATTGTCACCATTACATCCTCTGCTAGTCCATATGAACTCTTAGTCGTGTGGCCGACAAACTTCAAGTTTGTTCCCGTATCGCTCACTTTTCCAATACCCAGCTTTTTGAAAATAGATAAAGGCATGAGACTCACACTAGCACCTGAATCAATGTGAACCTCCTTGAAAGTTCTATCTTTTATAGTGCAAAGAATTGCTGCGGGTGCAGGATCTTTCTGAATGATGGGGATTTTCCTTCCGTGTGATATTTTACTACACCGCTCAGTTGAGATTTTCTGCTCCTCACCCATTGGCCTCTTTTTCCCCGTTACCTCTTTCATGAATTTCTTGTACAAAGGCATTTGTTCGAGTACTTCAACGAACGACATATTGATTTCTAACTTTTTGAACATTGTGCTGAACTTTTCAAAGTCCTTATCTTTCTGATCCTTCTTTATAACTCTTTGAGAGTAAGGTAGCTTGATTTTTGATTTAACCTCCTCTTTCTTTTTCTCTTCAGTTGGCTTTACAGGTGGTAATACTCTTTTCGGTTCTTTCCCATTTTCTCTCACTTCAAGCTCAACTTCTATACACTGATAATCATTTGTTTCTTTTTCTTCCTCTTCTTCCACAACTCTCTGACTTCTCGAGATGACAGCATTAACATTCTCATAACTTTTTGGATTCTGTACTGCCACGCTCGGGAGGGTACCTTGAGTATGCGTGGAGAGTTGTTGGGTTATTTGTCCCATCTGAACTTCAAGATGTTTTATAGCAGTTGTGGTGTTCCTTTGATTACTCTATGTCTCTTCTTAGAATTGAATATTGTAAGCTTCCATCTTTTCAATAGCTATTTCCCATTCTGGTTTCTGAGGAGCATGTTGCTGCTATTGATATTAAGGTTGATTCTGATCTTTCCAGGAGAAGTTAGGATGATTCTTCCACCCTGGATTATAAGTCTGGGAACAGGGATTATTCTGCTTTAGAAACTTTATCTCTTCAATTTGTTGAACAGTCGCAACACAATGCACAATAAAATATGGTCCACTACAAATCTTACAACTCACAGCTTGGATAGGTTAAACTTGAGCCACATGTTGAGTACTTACCTTCATTGCTATAAGCCTTCTTTCTACTTCAGCTTTGATTTGATCTTCCATTTTCACCACTTGAGTAGCCATCTTCAAATCAATTATTCCTTTAGGTTTACTCACACTGCAGTCATAGAGTTCCAAATGCTCATTTGCAGCAATGGCTTTAATGATCTTCTTAATATCAGTAGTTGTTGTAAAGTTGGATGAGCCACCAGCTGCTGTATCAATTAGTTACTTAGTCTTCATCTTGAGACCATTCACAAACATTTGTATTTGTTCAGTTTGATCCAGGTTATGAGTAGTACATACAACTAATAACTGTTTGAACCTTTTGTACGCATCACCCAATGATTCTCATTCCTTCTGTTTAAAATTTATGATATCATATCTTTTACGAATATACATAGAGGCAGGAAAATACTCATTAAGAAATACCTTCTCCATCTCTTCCCAAGTAGCAATACTTCCTGCGGGTAATGAGTAAAACCATTCTTCAGCATCTTCAGAGAGAGTGAACGGAAACATTCGTAATTTCCTTTCTTCATTAGTGTGCCCCTCTATCTTGAGAGTAGTGTTCATAGTCAGGAATCTTTGTAGATGTTTATTGGCATCTTCATTAACCTTTCCGGTGAAAGATTTCCTCTCAAGTTGGTTGATAGTGCTCGGATGCAACTGGAAATTTTCCACATTCACCGGTTGCTTTACAATTGTTAACCTACCAGCTGGTGCATTAGCCCCACCGTAATCACCAAGTAGTTTCTCTACTGCTGGAACTCCAGCCATAGTCTCAGTATCTGAATCTGAACCTGTCAGTCTTGCTTGTCTACGCCTTGCGTGTAGAGTTCTTTCAATCTCTGCATCAAAAGAAAAATTAGTCTCGCATAAAAATGTTAGACACAAATTAGTAATAACAGAATGCAAATAATAAAAAATAGAAAAATATAATAAAAAAATGAAAATAAAATTTTGGTCGCAAAGCAACAAAATTTCAATTGAATTACAATAAACTTATATTTCGGAAGTCCCCGGCAACGGCGCCAAAAACTTGATCGGGAAAATAGCAAGTGTACTATTTTGCCAATGGAGTGATAAAGGAGATTTCCCCGAATATCGATCTCGAGGACTGCATAGCAAACACAAGCTATAAAATAATTCAATTGAACAAAAGCACTTGGGGTTTTCAAATCTTTTGGTTTGATTATAAAAATATTTTCAAGTAAAAAGGGAAAATTGAATAAGTGGTTTACAATATATGAGTAACATGCTAGGAAAGGTGTATGATCTGACTCAATAACAACCCTGAATTAACACTGCAACAACTTATTGTAACTACTTAATTACCGATTCTTTAAAATGTTTACTCCTAAGTCTTTAGTGAGAAAATCTTTAATCATCTACCCTAATTCCTATGTACATAGAGAATTATAAGTGAGATTAAGCAATCAATTATCAAGAATTATTCTGGTTCCTATAGGGTATCCCTAGTCCTAGGTGATATCTACTATAGGATGATCAAAAGCAAAACCTTAACAATGGTGGTCCATCCTAATCATTAGTCGTAAATCAAACTATGTTGGTCCGACAGGGCAAACATTAAGAACAGCTAGAGATCAAATCAGTTATTAAAACAAAGGAAATGTTATTGCAATACTAATATCAGAGTCATTACAAATTCAAATCAGGGACACCCCCTAGCATTAGAGGGTTTAGCTACTCATAATATTTAAAGAAAATACAAAAGAAAAACTAGACATTACAAGATAATAGAATTCTTTGATCTTCAATGGCTTCCGCTCATGAAAACCTTCAGTTTTCCAATCACCTTGATCTCTCTAATCCTGATAGTGCAATTCTTCTCTGGCAAAAAAAGTCCTTGTTTCCTTCTCAAAATCTGTCTTAAATACTCCCAGGTTCAACACAGTAATAGGAAAAATACCCAAAATACCCAAAATACCCATAGGGATCATAAAGGCCCAAAAAATCAGAAAATTGAAAGATGAAGCGCATTAGCCAACACGGACCGAGTTGGCTCCCTGGTTATCTGATGCAAAAAGTTGTCTGCTCCAGACCTCCTGACATGGGCACCCATGTCAGGCCACTGCCCAACCCTCAACTTTCACTCTCTTGGTACCTTTCTGACATGGGTCGTGTCAGGTGACACGGGTGGCCGTGTCAGACCACTATTCCACTTCTAAAATTCTTTTGAACTCCTTCTGGTTTTTTTTTTCCGGTTTTTGCTCCGATTCTTTTTTATTACGTACCTGAATCTAAAAACAATGGAAATACCAAACTAACACATAAAATGCGATAAAAGGACATAAAATGAAACTAAACGTATAAGACAATTAACTAAAACTCATGGTAAAATAACGTATAAAAATCACTGATCACCTGCAAATAAGGGATTGAGAGTTGGACTTGGTAAAACTAGAAGGCAAATACGTTATGCGCTTGGGAGAGTCTGATGGAGTTTTACGAAAGCTTAGGAGAAGAAGATATTAAAAAAGGTTGATAGTGAAGGTTGAACCTCTTTTTATATGAATTTGAAAGCTAGCTTTAGGGGTAATCAATAGTCTCTCACTAGGTACATTAATAGTTGCAAAAGATTCCCCAAGTCTCTAATACATGTAAGGAATTTAGGCCGGCTTGGCTTCTTGAAACAAATTTACCATTAATCATATTTAATACTATGCGTGCAGTCACTTAAGATAACATTTAAGGACTCGCCTCGATTGAGGCTTGAAGATTTGCTGCCCCAAGTTATGCTTGAGGGACTCGCCCCAAGCTATGCTTGGAGGGTATTAAACTATATCATTTCATCCTTTACAAGTCATCATGCTTAAGGGACTTTGTACCAATATGATTCAGACCATATGCGAAGACAAATTTAGCAAGCCTGGAAGAAAATGGCCCAGAGGAAGAAATATATAGTTCACTGAGGGTATACGAATATCATACACCGTAAAAAATGAGGCTTCTAGTCTCCCATTTATCGCAACACACACCCATTGGATGTAACACTCGCCTATTGGTCACATTACTCGCCTCCCACTAGGCCTGGGTTAAAGTTGTCCATCACCCACTTACAAAATGTTTGAATTGACATGTTCCTAGACACTAACGACGTGAAGGCTTTATCATGGAGGAAAACCACATTCTCCAAAAGAATATGGGGAATGACGGGCTCCAAACTCTTGATATAGACATAATAACCACTTTCTCGATCCAAGAATCTAGGTCCAATGAACTTATATAAATACCTCAATCATAGAGTTGAAAAGGGACATTCAATTCACCTAAAATTCAGAGATACAAAACTTATCACCACTTCTAACACCATAAACAATCTTAAACACCACACATAACCTTCCAAATATAGAATTATCATTATTATACGTCTTTAACAAATACAATCTTAAGGTGATATTTTTAGAGAAAAATATTTTACTAGTTGATAACTTTTTAAGGATAAAACCTTTGGTGCCATGTTGATAACCCAAAAGGACATTCTTTCTAGTACAATGATAAGTTTTGTTCTCTTTATTGTAAAGTTGAGGCAAAGGAAAGACAATAAAAAACTTTCAAATATTCTATATTAGGTGGTGAGTCACTCATGAAAGTTTATTGATAAGATCAACAACAAAACTTTCGTTTTTTAATTTATTTAAATAAAAATACTTATGAATTATCTTAGTTCTAAAAAAAATTGAAAAAACATTTTTTAAGTAATAATATTTTAAAATTGTAACACTTACTACAAAATTTGAACGTTACCGGGTCCATCCATGTTCTTTGACATGACCCCATAAACCCTAGAAATTCGGAGCAAAGGGTTTATGCAAAACTGACATTTTAACAGTTTCAAATTCTGTTTCTTCCATCACAAGTATCAAACACCACCATCACCATGAAACTTCTCAGAGCAATCTTCACCCACCACATCCACAAGCGCCACCGTTTCCTCAACCCCAAATGCGTCTTTTCATCTTCATTTTCAAACTCTTCTTCGTCAACACCACCACCAGAGGACACAGAAACCCTACATTCCGATAGTAGAAACCAATCCACCAATAGTTGGAGCATATACGGCAACGTAGTTGCCAAACAAAGAATCAGCAATCACAGCGATGAAGATGAAGAAACCGAGGATGAAAAACCAAGTGGGAGTGAAAATGGGAGCATGATGAGTTTGAAGAATAGAAGCATAGTTAGGACGGGGACGACGGCGAAGAGGGGCACTGGGAAGGTGAAAACTCAATGGGTTTGTTATGATTGTGGGTATACTGCAGGACAGTGGTGGGGAACTTGTCCTTCTTGTAACATGGTTGGGACAATGAAAGAGTTTCATGAAGCGAAAGTTAATGGTGCTGTTGATAGTAGTAAGCTTAGAAGTGGTTTATCAGTTTCTGAAGATGCAACGAGAACTTGGCTCCCGCAGCGGGCTGATCAGTTGCAACCGGTTAAATTGAGAGAAGTTAACAGTGGATTCAGTGAGAAGGGTTGGCGATTTCCTTTGTAAGTTTAATTTTTTTTTTTTTATAATGGTGTTGTGTTGTATGTTTGAAATTCTGTGGGTTTTAGATCATTTAGTGGTTGATTGCTATTTGAAGCTTTTAGGGTTGGTTGTTTGAAGTTTTGATGGACTTAGGCTATGTTTGGATTGATGGTACATAACGGAACGGGGCGGAGCGGAACTTAGGAGAATGGAATATAGATCCCACTCCATTGTTTGGTTATTTTATTAAAAATATCTTATTCCATCACATACACCCCATATTGGATGGAACAAAAAATGGGAATTTGGATGGAGTGAATTCCATCATGTTCCATTCCATCCATTATTTGTAAATCCAAACAATGGAATCACATTAGTTACCACTCCACTCCATTCTATTCCATCCCATACCACCAATCCAAACATACTCTTAATCTTGAGGATTTTGTGCGTATTTAGTAACCGACTAGGTATCTTCAGAAAATAGTATAGTACATGAGTTGGACTTGATTATAATACTACGCCTCAGTAGTTCTATCTGTTATCAGGTCTGGCCCTTTTGGAGATGAAGTTTCTATTGTGCTTGGCGGTGGTCTTGTACCAGGTTCGGTCCAATTTTCTTATTTCTCGTTTTTCCTCGAGTCTTGACTATGTTTGTCTGTTTTTTGGGTAGGACTAATACAAAAGAGTCACTGCATTTGGTGATGGATGTTAGTGAATGGATCATTAATGGAACACTGTTTCTGTTCCTTTTTTTCTCCTTCTCAATCAGCATGATATTTGAGTTTTCATAAAAATGCTTCCAATTGTAAAACCGGTTATATTGTAGGGACAAAGTGTTGGATGATAAAAAACCAACCCGGGAATAAAATAAGTTTAGCAGAGATGACAGTTATGCGTTGAAAGTGTGGAAAGATTAGAGTAGACAAGATAGGATTAAGAATGCTAACCAAGGCCGTCTTAAATTTTTGGAGGCCCCGTGTAGGTTTACTATGATTTAACCATAAAAAAAATATAGGACCTGCTTTTTTATGGTTTAATCAAAACAAATATTTTGCGAGACCCTTTTAAGTCATAGTTTAACCGTGAAAATTGTGAGCTCTGTGCAGTAGCCCGCCTTAAACGCGCTCAAAGACGGTCCTGATGCTAACATTAGAGAGAGAGTTAGGGTAGCTCCTATCTTAGAAAAGATAGTGGTAGCCAGACTTAGGTGATTTGGGTACGTGGAGCGAATACTTGTTTGTAGGTTATGTAGTAATGAGACTTGTTTGTAGGAAGACTTAAAATAAATTATTAAGAAAGACAAAGATTAATGAGTTTGATACATATATGACATATGACAATATTTTGACGTCGTTTGATCTATGAAGTCAATCCCGATCCTATTTAGTGGGGTAACGCGTGGATGTTGTGTAAAAATGCTTCCAGCTGCTTGTTCGAGAAGTTGTAATATCTTCAGTAATTCAAGTTTATTTGATGTTTTGGTACATAATGAATTTGTTTTTTCATGGGTAATTAATCTATTATTGTGGTTTTGAAGGTTCTTTGAATTTAGTTAGTGGTGATCCCGGTGTTGGGAAGAGTACACTGTTGTTGCAGGTAAGCATTATTTTTTCAAAAATCTGATGATCAACCTTCTTTGAATGGGTTTGTGATCTGTCTTTAATGCTTGGCTTACCTGCGATGTTGAATTGGAAGATGGCAGCATTGATAGCAGAAGGATGCAATGGCGGTGACGGCACGGCCTGTCCAGTTGTATATGTCTCTGGTGAAGAGGTTTGCTTTTAATAAGCCTCATGTAATTACATTCCTACTAAACATTTGAAGTTTTAAACGCGCAAAAAATATAGAATATATTTATGTTTTTCTGTCAAATACATTTTCATATTGCTTTGATATCGCCTGTATAACATAGACTAAGTTCGAAATTTTACGAGCACAATTACTGCAAATATGGGTCTATTGAGAAAAAAGGGACAGATTCTTAAAATGTACTAACAATAATAACTTACTGCTCAACAGATTTGTTTGTTGTGCTATACTAAAAAAAGATTAAAAGTTTTAAATAATGGTTTTGAAAAGTAAAACTATAGGACATCAATTCTATGTTAATCTATAGCAAAGAACTAGTATAGCTTATTTTAAACTGATCACTATTTAATATGAATTTGAATCAATTTCATACTTCTATTCACCATTCCCAGGAATTTTTCGGTTCTGTGATTGTTACTTTATATTGCAATTTGGAATTTTGTTTTATAAAGGGGTTATAATGTTGAATTATTACTATGTTAATGGTATTGTATTATGTATATATGTCATTTATAGGATTTTCAATAATAGTTTTCACTTGAGGTAAACTTGTAAAATAGCTCGCAAGAGTTCACAAATCAAGTCTACGGAAGCTGGTGAGTCTATTTGGACTCTCGAGTTTGACAACGTTAACTGTTGACCTTTACTTCTTTGCCTATTTATCTTATCTTTCTAAATCTTGTATATTGCATTGTGAATAGAGTTAGTCATTTATTTCATGGATTTTAAAGGTAGATAATGTAGTTTTTTAGATTTTGATCTCCAACATTCTTTTAGGACTATGGCACTCTGACTTAGTGTGTATTTCTGTTTCATCATTTGCAGAGCCTTCAGCAAATTGGTCATAGAGCAAATCGCCTTGGGATTAAATCTGATATTTATTTGTATTCAAGTACTGATATTGAGGTATTGTCTTGGATTCTGTTAATTTGGTCTGCTGTGGCATTTTTCTTGCTTTTTTACTCATTTTAACTCATTTTTTTATCATAAAGTTATTATCTTGCAGTATAAAGGAGTTTGCTCCCATATAATGTTGTTCTGTAGTTGACCAGCATGGTGCATGACGTAAAGAAGTCTCAATAATTGTCTTCTTTTTTATTGCCCATTTTACATGGTGTCAGGACATATTAAGGATAGCCCAGTCTTTCCCCATTCGTGCTCTGGTTGTTGATTCAATACAAACTGTTTATTTGAAAGGAATAGTAGGAAGTGCTGGAGGGATCATGCAGGTTCTGAATCTACCATATTCAATTACTCTTTAAGACTTTTGAATTTATCTTGGATGTTTTTGCTGTAATGGGCTATGGACATCCGATGGGATTGTTTTAACATGATATGTCACTTGATATGGTTTTGAGGAATTTCTTTTAATTAATTTCTACCCTTCTTTACCATACTAACTTGTATTATATCGCTATAGCGTTGCGGGTTTGGACAACCCGCTATTGTTCTGTAATACACGATTTAGTACAAAATATTGTCAAAAAGCCGCTATAGCACTACTGCATAGCGGAATTTTAACAATTCAGTATTTTCCGCTATCTGCAATTGACAACAGTGGGACGGGCTAATGATATAGTAATTTTCTGTTGCTTAAGTTATGTAATTGATTAACTGGTTAATTTAGTTGTTTAGATGGATGGTTTACTTTCTCTATTAGCATCTGTTTGTTTTAATCTGCTCGTCAATCAAAAGCATCAAAATGCACCAATATACCTGTTTCTCATTGAAGTCAAATGCTGGTTATTGGTACATGACTTTGTATAGGTGTGTGGCAGGTGAAAGAATGTACTTCAGCTTTGATGCGATTTGCTAAAACGACTAACATCCCAGTACTTTTGGTGAGCAATAGCCTCTTTCAATCTTATGATTGTATCTATTTACATAGTGTCTTGTTTTGCATCATATCAACTTTTTTAAAGACAATAATGGACATTTCCATCTTGACCCACCAAAGATTTAATCCCCTCATTCCACAAAATCAATTCAAATGTGCTAGTATGGTAGAAATTGAAATGTTTATCCGAGTCTAAAAGAGCCAGGTCATTGATTGGTGTCGCTTGCCTGTACTTCATTTATAATTTTTCCGTGGGCATGTATCTCAATATGGCTTTAATATTTGTTAGCATTCTTGATAATCTTTTTCTTTTTCTTTTTTATTTCATGTTTCAGATTGGGCATGTAACAAAGTCTGGAGAGATAGCTGGGCCTCGTGTTCTGGAGCATATTGTTGATGTTGTCTTGTACTTGGAAGTTGGTACCTTGTTCCATTCATCTTTCTTTGAGTAGTCAGTACAGATGATTTGTGCCTATGAGGCTATTATTATAGTTTTATCATGACACATTCAGATTCAGATGATGAAAATTTGATAAGGGCCACTTATTTTCAGTTTAGATGAGTTACAACAAATTTTTGCTAAATTGCATTATAATATGGGAGAAATATCCACGGTGATGTTTAAAGAAAACTATTGCAATCTTTTTTAACGATGCCTGTTTAAATTCTGTCTTTGCAATTTAGATGTCAACTTCCTCAAACAGTGATGAAATAATATTAGAAGACCTAACAAAAAAGTCACAATCATAATGAGTTGAAAGGTGGTGATATGTAGTAGAACTTCCCCAATGATTTTTTAAAACTAATTGATATTTGTTTTTATGATATTGCATTTAAATTTAAATCTGGCAGCTTTGTTTATAAGACATTGCATTTTATGTGTATGTTACTTATAGCTCGATTTTTAGATGTCATTACAATTTTCTCCTTTCTAATTGCTTATAATTAATGCATAGGGTGAGAGGTTCACTTCATATCGAATGCTCCGCGCTGTGAAAAACCGGTTTGGATCCACTGATGAGGTATATTGCCAGGACTAGTTTCCATTTAATTAAGGAACAATTACTGATAATTACTACTCTGTATCAAGATTTGTTAAAAACTGTCTTTCTGTAATACTCTTGATATCTTGTACAGCGTGTAATAGCATGAACTTGTTGCTCTTTTCTTATAGTATACGTATATTAGTATTGTGTGATGCTTAATAATTTTGAGAATGTGGATGTATCAACTTGTGTGCCTTATCCTGCATATTTAGCAGTAAATTTAACTCATTATATTACAAAGGCACGGGTGATGTGCCAGTTGATCTGATGTGTGCGGGACTTAAACTTAAAATAACATTTATTTTAAAGGATTTTACATGTCAAACTTTTCTGGTCTCTCTCAAAAAGAGAAAAAAGAAACTACTAGAACAACTACTCTTTATGTATTATTATGACAATTTGTTAACAGTATCTGGGCTTCGATTTCTTTTCTTTAATCAGGATTATATGAGAAAATTGATGTTTGATCTGTCCTGTCTTTGATTTCTTTGAACAGCTTGGAGTTTTTGAGATGTCAGAATCAGGATTTCAGGCTGTTTCCAATGCCACTGAAATGTTTCTCACTGAACAAGACCCTGATTCAGATGTTTTAGTTGGGTTAGCTTTTACCGTAATAATGGATGGTTCAAGAACTTTCATAATTGAAGTTCAGGTAATTTTTGAATTATCATTGTATAAAAAATAATGGTGATGAGTTTTGGCACAATGGTTTGAGTTGTTGTCATGTGACAATGTCAAGGGTGCGAGTCATGGATTCAGCCTCTTGCAAACTCAATCCAATTATGCAAGGCTACTTATACTAGACCCACAATGGGGTTGACTTTTCCGTGGCTTCCCATAGCATGAGTTTTATAGCATTAAGGGGCCTATTGTTTATGTCACAGTAAAACCTTGTCTTATTTTAAATAATTTATAGGCAAAATCTTTAGAATTTATCATTTTTTTGTTCTATGCTGTAATATCTCTTCTCTGAGGTCCTTTAAAGAAATTACTTAGACTAATTTTCAAATTTACTTTGCAGGCACTCTGCCTTTCTCAATCCCCGGTGGGAGGGTCAACTTCAAAAGTAGTTAATGGAGTTGACACAAATAGAGCTAACATGATCAAATGTGTAAGTTATTGTTGTTAAATTATAATCTTTTATTGCTTGGACAATTGTACTCTATGGTTAATATTTTTTTGTTTATCTTAATAAGAAAATTAACAAAAGGAATACTTGAGCGGGATACTGATTTTCTTGTTTAAAGTATAAGCCACTGCATTGGAACTTGTTCAGTTGTGCATTGATTATTACCCTGTTCCTTAATCTGCAGGTTCTTATAAAGCAAGCAGGTCTTCATATCCCAGTAAGTGAAGTTAATTGGTAAATTTGATTTATTCTGTTGGAAATTCCGCCTTCATTGCAATCCGGCCTCATCGCCTTTATTGTGCATTTGGATTGCCTTTGTTGCAGCCTCCAATACCTTCATTGTGTTGGGTGTGAAGACATGGATTAGTCCCACAATGCCTAAAGATATGAGTTGTGTAGTGTTTATAATTCGGCAGCCCTCATTTTACAAGCTGGTTTTGTAAAGGTTGAGTTAGGCTCAACTCAAATTCTAAGATATCCTTTCAAGTTAATTGTTCCTCCCTCAATGTATTTCTTGAGAGTAGGTTTCACACGTTTCTGTTTCACTCTAATATATCCATAGAACAGTGCTAGGAACACTCTTTTCAAAACTCACTCTTTTATTAGGTGAAATCCATGTTGATCTTACTTTTTAAGATATCCTTTCAAGTTCGATGTTCCTCTCTCAATGTATTTCTTGAGAGTGAGTTTCACAAGTTTCAGTGTCACTCTAATATGTTCATAGAAGAGTGCTAGGGAAACTCTCTTTTCAAAATTCACTCTCTTATCAAGTAAAGTTCATGTGAATCCGATTGTTTTAAGATATCCTTTCAAGTTTGTTGTTCCTCTCACAATGTATTTCTTGAGAGTGGGTTTCACATGTTTCTGTTTCACTCTAATATATCCATAGTGGTGCTAGGAAGTAGTAATACTCTTTTTTTTAAAAGTCACTCCCTTAGTAAGTGAAGTCCATGTGGGTCCCACTATTTTATGTTAGATCTATAATTCTGCACAACAATAGAAATTCTGCACTATTTTTCAATCCTGCATAACAATTCTGCACAATAATACAAATTCTGCACAAGCAATATTCAATTCAATTCAAAAGAGTGAAGTCCATGTGGGTCCCACTATTTTATGTTAGATCTATAATTCTGCACAACAATAGAAATTCTGCACTATTTTTCAATCCTGCATAACAATTCTGCACAATAATACAAATTTTGCACAAGCAATATTCAATTCAATTCAAAATTCATTCAACAACATTCAAATTCAACAATCACTCCAAAAAAGAAAAAACAAGGCATCCTCCAAATTTTATCTTCCAAAGTGTTATCTGCCATGTCCATGTCTGTTTAATGCTTAAAATATAACTGGTGGGAATATATTTTCTTTTGATATTTGTATTCTTACTCTCATATTGTATTTCCATATGTTTTCCTTGTACAACAGTCTGTGCATTTGAATGTTGTTAGTGGATTGACATTGACTGAGACTGCTGGAGATCTTGCAATAGCAGCTGCAATTTGCAGCAGGTTGGTATTCTAATTTGTTTGAAATGGCTACTATATATCATGTGAATTGAGGGGGTTATTGTTCATCTTTCAAACTCCTTGTCTGGAAAATAAGTTAACTAGGACTGTTGCATGTGCTCCTCTTTTCCAATATGATATTCTATATCTTTTGTTTCATTTAGTTGTGTTTTTTTGTTCCAGTTTCTTGGAGTACCCTATTCCAAAGGGCATTGCATTCATTGGTGAAATCGGTCTTAGCGGAGAGCTTCGCACGGTGAGCTTGTTCTTTCTGATATTAGATGTCCCGACTCACTACGATAATATTTAAAGAGAAGTTTCATGTCCTCAATATTATAGCCGTATGCCTGATATTTATATTATAAGGTTTAATGATGTGATAGTGTGATAAGTCTAAGTCAAGCATTTTACTGATTCATCCTCACTGTGCATCAGAGTTTATGATATAACTGTGGACCCAATTACTGCTAAAGGCCACTAAACCTGGTTCCAAAAATGCTGTACAAATTTACTCTCGCATACGAAAAACTAATTAAGAGGAAATAACTACTGTGAAGCATACATATGATCTGTTTAAACTGAGGAATTCATTCCTTTAAGTATTAAACTGACTGGGCTTGATTGAAACTGTGCAACCTAGAGTAAAATCCAAGATGCTCTGTATTTCTATAGATATGGTTGTTTAGTTGCCGTGCTTTTAAAATCATTCTTTGTTTCAAGGCAAATTGCAACCTTTTGTTTATTTATTTATTTATCGAGCATTAACCTGTATGTTTGATTGTTTAATGACGCAGGTTCCTAGAATCGACAAAAGAGTTCACGCATTGGCAAAGTTGGGTTACAAAACCTGTGTAGTACCAAAGCAAGCCGTAAAAGCTTTAGGAACTGAAGGGCTAGAAAATATTAAATTAGTAGGATGCAAGAATCTGAAGGAGTTTATTAATGTAGTATTCAGTAGATGAATACAATTAAAACAAGCTGCTAAAATTGTGCAGATCTCTTTGTTTTGTAAGATGTACAATTTGACACTTCCCGAAGTTTGTAAATATAGATATACTATAGTTTTGGTTGTCTTGTGTCAATTATGTAATTTGTTATTACAAGCATTAAATTTGCTGTAGTAACTCGCCAATTTTAAAGGCTTTATTATGATTTATAACTATGCCTTAACACACTTTCTTCTACTTCTGATGTGTTCTGTTCATTCTGCTTTTGCTTCTTCTGTATGTTGAGGATTCACAAAACTGGGCTGATGGGTGGAGGATAGTAACCTTGCCCACATCCGGTCTGTAATCACAACTCTCTTCTGTCCCTCATTTATAAGCTGCACATACAAAAAGAACATTTTTACTTGAGGTAAACAAACCATATAAATTATGATACTGATATGGCTCTTTATACAAAGCAAAAATAAAGCATAGTTCAGAACAAAGGTGTCAAATATGTTGTTGTTCCATCGAAATAAAGGGAAAATTTGAGATATCAAATGAATGTTTCTTCTATATATTGTGCATATTTGGATTGATGGTGAGTATCTGCTATTTTGTCAAACTCACTGTTAGTCTTAACAGACACAATGTGTGGCATGTGAAAAGCTACAATTTGTAGCTTTAAGCTGGGATACTAAACACTATGTGTTAATGTGATAGCTAAGAGTCACAGTATCTTACATGAAATGGAATATAACAGTTTCTGCCATTAACTGGGCCAACTGTGAAGCCTGTGTATCCAGCCATTGCACCATGAACAGCACTTTGAGCAAGTAAGGTGCAAAACACATTATCAGACGCATTACTTGGAATAGCACGGATCATGTAAGTAGGATCTGCAACACAATTTTTATTCACTGCATTTTGTTCTTTAATTAATTAATAATACAAATACAGTTCCAAATAAAGAACTCACCAATGTACTTCAAATTTATAGCCATTTTTTTACTTCTTGCAAAATGATCCTACAGTAGATACAAACATTTTAGTGTAAAGATAATAAAAACTAAAGGAAAACACACTGACCATAACAAGAAGGGAAAACTTTGAGATTTGTTACCTTAATTTTCAGAGATAACCAAAGACCAACATCATGAAACAAGTCATCTGAAGCAGCATCTGGCCTATTCTTATTAGATTTGTCACTAGGAAGAATTAGCTCCTGACCTGCACCTTCTGCTATTACTATAACCATGTGTCCTTGTTCTCTCAATCTTTTCTCAATGAACTCCAATACTCCACCTGGTCCCTCAAGGTAAAACGGTGATTCCGGAATCAAACAACAGTCCACATCTCGGCTCGCAAGAGTTGCGTACATGGCTATAAATCCTGCATCAATATGCCACCATAACAACTAATCATGAGTGCTCAACAAGTTTTAAAAACCAAGCTGTGAACAGCCCCGTTCAACCGGTTGAACCGGAACTGAATATCAGACAACTAGCCTGTTGATTTGACTTCGGTTATATTGCAGTTTCGTTGAACCGTCCAGAATTGAACTGTGATTCAACCGCGGTTGGTTCAACCGATTATTGAATATACGAGTCAACACTCTTGTATATCATTCATATAACATTAAATATTCGAGTGAAGCTTACCACTGCAACGCCCCATTAACTTCACAACACCAATACCATTCTCAGCACTCTCTGCTTCAACATGAGCAGAATTAATAGCCCTTTGCGCCTCTTCAACAGCGGTGTCAAAACCAATTGACTTGTCAATAACCTAATTCAGATACACAACAACATTAATGAAGTAAATTTAATTACTATCTTTTTCTTTTTTTTCAGTACAATTGCATAAGAGAAATATAGAACTTTTACATATATAGTAAAAGCATCCTTACAGGAATATCATTATCAATAGTTTTCGGAATTCCAACCACCGCAACTTTCAATCCTCGTCTTCTAATTTCCTGAGTACATAACCAAATCTCAGATGTTTCTAATCGACTTGACCATAATTGAAAGTTGTTAACCACTTGAGTTTAACCAACGCATTCTCATAATAGATCATAAAAACCACTCAAACTACATCAATTAATCACTACCTCAAAAATCAAAGCTGCTTCGTTTTGAGTTCCAAATCCCCCGAGTATATAAACCTGATTAATGCCTCGATCCTGAATGCTGTCAACAATCTTTGAGGTATCATGTCCTCCATACGATGTCTTCAAAATGGTTCCACCGCGTTTGTGTATATCATTAACAATCTTTGGTGTTAAAGGAATTGTGTTTCTCGAGTAAAAACCTCTATATCCTCCCTACATTCAACCAAACCACTACAATCTATATCAACTATTCATGAAACAAAATCTAGAAAATTGAGCACTGTCATATAAGTTATACATACCTCTATTCCCAAAACTTTGTGCACTCCATACATATGGTATAATCCACAAACTAATTCTCTTATCACTGTATTCAAACCAGGACAAAGACCACCACATGTAACAATACAAGCATACACTTCCTTTGAATCAAAATATACCTGCAATACATTCACTTCATATTACATATGTGCAAGCCAATGTTTCACTTTCGATCAAACGAAAAAAGACAAACTAACCTTCTGAGCAGGTCCAGCGCGTCGAAAAAGGGTCCCTCTTGGACTATTTTTATGAACAACTATCTATAAAAAAAGGAAACAGTGTCGAATTATTAACTCAGAAACACCGAAAGAATAGCAGAATTGTATAGATGACGAGCAACAGAACCAAATGTTACAAAACGACTTACCTGTTGCGCAACCGTATCATCTGAATTCACATAATACTGTCTGTAAACATGAATTAACCAGGTTAATCACTGAATCAAAGTTTCCAATTTATGGTACGAAATTGATTAAAAACAGCTTATGCAAACATAGATAAAAATGGCAGTCAAACAAAATAAGGTTAAATAAACTCAAGCAAAATGATTCCAATAAAATTGATCACATACTTGACAACTGCATAAGAAGGATTATCTTGTAATGGGTCAGGATATGTCTGCATGATCAACCAAAACCAGAAAAAACTCATGAAACACAATCATAAATTATACACCATTCAAACAACACCAGAATCAAACCAAACATGAATAGAATCAGTGATGAAAAACAGAAAAAGTTAGTACAACATACAGGAAGATCAGGGATGTAATCAGACAAGTGAGGAACATCCTCAAGTAAAGAGTCAGAAACATAGGAAGTTGCAGAATCTAGCATGCTGTTCTTTTTCCACAGGTTTCACCAAAGTTCTTCCACTATCTTTACTTTTCCTGCCAAAAACACACACATGTAACTATATAACTGTATGTATATATATATATATATATATATATATATATATATATATATATATATAAAGAGAAAGAGGCATAGTTATTGCCGTATGAAATAAAATAATAATTAACTGATTATGTGGCGGGTTTTACATTGGAACTAACTGAATTTCCATGCCTAAAATTGTTACCTGAAATCTGAATGATAATTAAATTATTATTACTTATTAGTATTTATTTGGTTTTTTGTTGAACTTTTTCACAAAAGCATGTTTGTTGATAAAGTTATTCGTGTGATTTATTACTAACATCATAGGGATTAAGGAGGTTTAACCTTTAATTAAGTTGAAAAGCCACCAAGCTATCGATAGTTTATTGGGTCAAATTATTTTAAAAATTAATGAGAGTTAAAAAAACTTTATATGTCTGTTATTGATTTTTGTTTCTTTGTTCCATTTTGAGAATATTGGTGTATCACTTTCACTTTTTCCACTAGGTGCCATAAGGTTCATTATTGCCTAAACCATCACCCAAACCAAATGTGTCACATGCAAAAGAAAGCAACCATTCAATTTTATTGCATTCAGGCGTGACAGCGTGACACTAATGTTAAAGATGAAGATCCATACAATGGTTCAGTTGAAAATTCATCAAAAAATAACTATTTTACAAGCATCAACATTGTTTTCATTTTCTAACCGTTAAAAGTATCGTTACTATTTAATTGAAAATGTTTTTTTTATAAATCATAATATTTGCTTATATATATTTTTAAAAATTCAATATCTATCTATGAAAGTAACATTCGATTGATTTTTTTAAAACGTCATTTTTAGTTTGTTTTAATTACTTACTAATTAGGATTGATTTTATTGTGAATTGATATAGTCAAGAACAAATCAAAATATGAAAAAAAAATATTGAGTTTTTTGAACAGACACAAGAAACTCTATAGGTTTTACAAAAGAGAGAGAAGAATGAAGAAGAAAAATTTGTTAAATCTATTTTTCTATTCACTTTCTCAATAAGGGTTAAAAAATTACAAGTGAATACCAACAATTAACCTCACTCAACAACCTGAGAGAACTAGTATATTTATAGAATACTAAGATAACTTAGGATACAGACTAATTTAACATTTGGGCTTAGAAACAAGGACCAATTCGACATACTAACTTAAATTACAAGTTAATATATTTCGACATTATGCTCTAACAAACTTCGACTACAACATATGCAACTCTTGTCGAACCATTAAACTACCCTTGTCGACATTAGAGTTCAATCCAAATACCACAAATCTCCACCTTGGAACAAACTCTACACTAACAAGGTAACAAACTAGTTTTCATCATCCATGGCTTTCAACCATTCAGTTTTATTTCGACTTCTTGTAACTTCCTTATAGTCTCTAGGTTCTTCGTCAAGAACCTCACTTGCAGAGATTAAGGCATAAGTTATGAGATTTGTATAATCAAGTCTCTGAGGTGGCTTGATGACTCTTCTCGATCTATCTCTAGCCAGTAGGTAGTCATTATCAGTCTCTTCATCTTTATCTGCAACTTGAGATTCTTCTTTGACTTCATCCTGATTATGCAATTCAGCAGCACTATGCTCCACCTCAACATGAATCCTTTCTTGTTCAAACTCTTCTTCAGTTTTTTTGAAAGCCATCTCAGCTTGATTGAAAACTACATCTCGACTTGTGATACACCTCCTGTGACCTGGCTCTAGGCACCACAACCTATAAGTTTTGACTCCTTATGGGTATCCATGAAACATACATCTCAAAGCTCTAGGTTCGACCTTGTCTTGCCTAATATGAGCATAGGTTAAATAACCAAATACTCTAAGTCTGTCGAGACTAAGTGGATTTCCCAACCAGACTTTTCAGGTGTCTTCATTCCCAAGACTGTCGAGGGACACCTATTTATCAAGTATGCTGCAATCACAGTAGCTTCTGTCCAAAACACCTTCTTCAATCTCGCACTTACCAACATGCACCTCACCTTTTCCAGAATGGTTCAATTAAACCTTCCAGTCAAACCATTTTGTTGGGGAGTCTCTGCAGTAGTTATGTGCCTTGTAATATCACACGCAACACAATAGTTTTCGAAAGCCTCATTGCGAAATTCAATACCATTATCGGTCCTCGGCCTCTTGACCATCCTGCTAGTTTAGTTTTCAACCAGAGTCTTCCAAATTTTGAAATTTTTAAAAGTTTCATCCTTAGTCTTCTAGATGAATATCCATAACCTTATGGAGTAATCATCAACTATGGAAATAAAATACTTTGCAACTGAGTGTGAAGGATTCTTTACAAGTCTCCAAAGATCAGCATGAATATAATTAATGAATCCGTGTGTTCTTTGTTTGCCATTGTTAAACTTCATGCTACATGATTTACCACATACACGAGGTTCACAAAACTCCAGTTTTTCTACCTTATCACCACCTAATAGATTTTGTTTTGACACCTCGACCAGGTCTCTTTTATTGACATGACCAAGTCTCTTGTGCCATAACTTAGTCTTCGACACAGGTTTTGTGGATGCCACGTCTGCTTAACCACTTACAACCTCAGACTCAAGGGTATACAAACCTTGTTTCTTCACGCCTCTCAAGACTTCCTTCGACCCCTTTATTACCCTTAGGATGCTTTGCCCTCCTTTGAAAATGTATCCTTTCTTGTTGAATTCACCAAGAGAAATCAAATTCCTTTTGAGATAAGGTACATATCTAACATCAGCCAATAACCTTATTGACTTATCACGGAGCTTGAATTTCACATATCTAATATCTGTAATTTTGCAAGCTTTGTTGTTTCCCAGCAGCACTGATCCACTATCTTGATCACACAATTCCTCAAACACGTATTTGTTTGGAGTCATGGGCTAAGTACATCCTGAATCCATAATCCACTTGTTGCCAGAGTTGCAACTTGAAACGACTAGGACATCAAATGATTCATAACCATCTTGCACAATGGTTGCATTACCATTATCTTTTCCACCATGACTGTTCAGACGATTAGGACATACTTTACCATCATAAGAATTTTGTATAAATTTACCATTCTTCTTCTCAAACCTACCATCTTTCTTCAAGAATTTCCTCTTAACGGACAAACCTTCACCAATAGAAGATGGCTTGTGCTCTTTTTTTTGTTCAAATTCTTAGAGTACATGCCAGATTGAACATCTTTAAAGGTCAATGACTCTCTTCCATACAAGAAAGTTTATTTGAAGTGAGCATGAGACTTAGGCAAAGAGCACAACAGAAGCAACGCTTGATCTTTATCATCAATCTTGACCTCCATATTTTTAAGATCAAGAATTAACTGATTGAACATATCCACTTGCTCAGCCAAGGCTTTGTTTTTATTCATCTTGAATGAATACAAAGCTTGCTTTAGGTAGAGATGATTAACCAACGATTTTTTCATGTACAAACTTTCAAGTTTCATCCACACACCTGCTGCAGTTTTCTCCTTTTAAACCTGTCGGAGAACCTTATCACCAAGATTCAATACAATGGCATGGTGGGCTTTTTCGACCATTATTGTCTTCTCCTTCGATAAGGTAGCATCCATTCTCTCTGATCCTTTGAATGCTTCTAACAAACTCTGTTGAATAAGAAGGGCTTGCATCTTCAAGCGCCACAAACCAAAATTATTCACACCTATGAATTTCTCAATCTCATACTTTGTTGACGACATTTTCTCCTCCACGCTCACCGTAACAGTTTGTTGTGAATTGATGTCTCAAGAACAAATCAAAATATGAGAAAAAGATTGAGTTTCTTGAACAAACACAAGAATCCCTATTAGGTTTAACAAAAGGGGAGAAGAAGGAAGAAGAATAAGAATTATTTAAATCTATTTTTCTATTGAATTTCTCAATATGGGTTCAAAGATTACAAGTGAATACCAACAGTTAATCTTCCTTAACAACTTAAGAGAACTAGTCTATTTATAGACTACTAAGTTAACTTAAGATACAAGCTAACTTAACAATTGGGCTTAGAAGCAAGGCCCAATTTGACATACTAACTTAAATTACAAGTTAATATATTTTAACATTATGCTCGAATAGACTTCGACTACAGCATACACAACTTTTATCGAACCATGAAGTTGCCCTTGTCGATACTAGAGTTCGATCCAAATACCACAAATTTAGATTTAACACACTTAACTTCATCAATTGATGACTTTCACTGATTTATCCATCTTTTACCATACTTACTTACCATACACAATAATTAGATTTCATGTTATATATGCAAATATTTAGAGTCACATGCCATTTTTCAATAAAATTTAAAATATCACTTTGCTCAATGCATGCATAGCTCCTGAAAAAGTCACATTGTAAGTCGGGAGGCCTTTCACTCTGTTTTAGGAAAGGGAAAGTCAATTCTATGCTAAATCATCCTTCTCTGTTAAACCACTAAAAAACCATGATTTCATCTAAAATCCACCATTGATTTTCGATTACAATCTTACGGAAGATAACAAAGAAGGATGACGAAAGACAGATTGGTTGATTCAAGTTCTGGTTGAGTTCAAAGTTTTCGAACAGCAGAGGTAAATATTTAACATTGTTGTGATTTTTACACTTTTTGTAATGATTTTTGGATTATTCTGTGATTATTTATTTTACTGTTCTAGCTATGAACTTGATTTTTAAATAACCATTTTGTTCTTCTCTTCGTTTTTTTGCTTTAGCGGATGTACTTTGTTTTAGTAATTATGTTGGCTTTACCTGCTTATAGATTTGTAATGCTTTGATCTTTGTTTTTCCCACCTCTTCAGTTAAGTTATGAACTTGATTTTCATAACCATTTTGTTCTTGGTTCCTTCTTTTCTCTTTCTTTTTTCCGCTTTACTGGATGTACTTTTTTTGTAGCTATGTTGGTTTTACTTGGTTATAGATTTGTAAT